GCCTCACATGCCTTTTAGAGCTTTTAGACAGGGACACAGCTGAGTCAGAGATGGCACCCTGCCCACCACGCTGAGTGTGGAGGGTTTGTCACTCTGAAGGCAAAGGCAGTGGTGAGGGCTGGGTCTGTTTGGTGTGGCCACTGTGGAGGACACGAGCTGTAGGCACACTCCAATTGTTTAATTCCAAGTATGTTGGGCCAGAGTGTAGCACAAAAGCCAAGTAATGATTCCAATTAATTTATTTATTATTGTTGTTGTTGCCTATGTAAATGGTTAGATAAGGGAGAGGTTCTTTTACAAGCTGCAGTTCTCTAAACAGTGTCCTGAATTGTCTGGAAAGGTCATGAGAACATGAGAAAACATGAAACTATTTCTGCTTAGAGCATGAAATGAGTGGGGAGGGAATCAATGATCCTGATGTGGAAGAGCTGTGGGTACAGCCAGTGGGATTGCTGGGCTTTGTGGAAGTGTGGTTGAGCCAGAGATTCTGAGGTGCAAAAAGAAATTATTTTATTCTGAAATAAAAAGTGGTGGTGGCACAGCTTTCCTTACCCTGCAGAACACCCTCCCTGTGTTCATTGGCTTTGCTTTCTGATGAGTCTGCTTGTTCAGAGGGCCCCAATCCCTGCCTTAAACCTTTGCTTCATGACCATTTTCATTTAAAAGTCCATTTTACTGCCTGATAAAGGTTTGGCTTTAATTAATTTTGTGTGTTATAACGGTTTTAGCGTTGCTGTGAGGGACCGAGCAGAACTGGCTGCAGGAGCAGCGCTGGGAGATACATTCCAATAAATAGTTCTGCAGGTGCCTGAACCACAAGGGTGGCCTTGCAGGTGAATTCCTGGTCCAGCTGCTGGGAGCTGCAAGGGTTTTCATAATCCCTCTGAGCTTCTTAACTGCTCTTAGGCCACTGGAAATCAGACATTTTTGCATCTCCGCTTCCCACAGCTCTTCAAGCCTCGTGAAGGGGAAAGGTGGCTCAGCTCAGCGTTTATTGTTTTCTGTTGTTGTTTATTCCACCTGTTCAAAGTGCCTCTATTCTGACAGCAGCTTCTAAATCCCCCTTTGGATTCACATTAAAGATCCCTCTTTCCTCCTGGGCTCATGTGGCCACCTAGAGCTGTCTGAAATGTTGATTTTTCTGCAGCCTCTCTTGAGGATCTGGAATCACACAGACACTACAGTATCTGTTCTCCAGGGATCGTTCCTAATTTGTGAGTGCTACGTGAGCCTCGTTAAATCACTGTCACCGTGCCTCCTCCTCCCCTCTGTCGGGTTTGTAATAAGGAGTTATTAGATAATGCAGAAATTAGAGGAATAGCACCTAAATTCATTAAGCAATAAAATTAATTCACAGGCTGTAATTGGATGAGCAGGGGACCGGTAATTCCTGTTCCCTCTGGTTTCGCAGAAACTCCACCCCGGTGAGCGCTGGGGCAGCCGGAGGTGTCGGCAGTGCCCGGCGGGGCAGGGCAGGGAGGAGCTCGGCTCCACTGGGTCTCTGGAGCCAGCCTGGGCTCTGCAGGGCTGCCCGCGGCACCTTTCCACCAGCCTGAGCTGCTGACGGACTCCCAGTTCGCTGCATTCCCTCTGGATGAGCTGGTGAAGGTTTATTGCCCTCCACGGTCTCCTTCCTCAGCACGTCACGGAGCAGGACCCTGCCCTCTCCCGTGTGTCCCGGTGCTCTGCCTGCTCCGGCATTCCAGTCATACTTCCCTCTCTTTCTGCCTCCCATGAAGTCATCACTTCTCCTTCTCCCGCTCCTGGCTGGCTCGGGGTGCCATGGCATGAGCGCTGCTCGCCAGCACAGCTTCCTTCTGGTGAGTGCAGGGAGGTGATTTCTCCTCCTGACTTCTCCCTCAGGTTGTACCTCCCTTTCTCTTTTGGAGCTGGAGCAGTTTCAGATCAATCCACTTGCTGGGAAGTGCCTGCTCGTTGGTTATTCCTTCCAGCTGCTTCTCCTTGCTCCTGTTCTCGCTGTCTCTTCCATTGGCTCATCCCTGGAATTGTGTGTGAGGGATGAACAAACAAAAGGAGTTAAATGTATTTCACTCCCAGCAATGAGAGGAAAATCCCGGTGATCTCTTGGACTAGCTGGGATTCACAGGAGCTGGCAATGCAAATGCAGAAACACCTCCCTGGCAAAGTGAAAAGTAAACAGTGTTGATATTGGTTGGTGTGTTTGTTGCACATAACTTGCTCTGGAGCAGTGGCTGTGAATCAGAGAAGGCAGTGATGGTGTGTGGGTTAACCAGGAGTTTGGGTGCCTGTCCTGCTGCTGTCCCGGAGCCTTGGGGGGATCACTGTGCTGCTCTGTAATGATTCCACAGCATGAAAAACAGAGAGTAAAGATTAATTATCCTGGCAGTTCCAGCGCCTCGAATTAGTCAACAAATCAAACGTGTTTATTACTGCACAGAAACAGTTTCAGAAATATTCATAAGCCTAAATTAATGTGCAGTGTTTGCAGTGCTGTGGATCCTGTTGGAGAAGTGGGATACATTCAATTCTGGCTACTTAAAAAAGCTCCTGGTGCCTGCACAGGAAGCAGTGGGTTGGCCCAGTAGTGTGAGAGAACCTGGAAGAGGCTTCAGGACCCTGATAATTTTGGGGAAGTTTCTCTTGGAAGATCTCATTTGGCACTGGGGCAAAACACAAACCACTGCAGCCTGCTGGGAATATTGGGAAGAGCAGCAAGCCTGAAGTCAGACACTGAATCTGATCTCCTGTAGTTTGCTTGCACAAGTGGGCAAATTTGTCAGAAATGGCAGAAAATACAGCTGGAAAGATCTGCAGGAGATGTCTGGTGCCCGTGTGACCCTGGAGAGGGGAGGGAAGGGAGCTCACTGTACCTGAACCTGTGTCTGTGAATGATCAGTTCCAGTGTGTAACTGTCCGTGGCAAGAGAGGACTGTTTCCAGTGGCTAACCTAAATATCTTCTGCTGTAAATGAAGACATTTCTTTGCCAGCCTCCAGTGACTCCACAGAGTTTTTACTATTGCCTTTCAGCACCCATTTATGCTGTGCCTCCAGCCCTGAGGAAGTGAAAAGGGCACTTAAACCTTTCCATATTCATCCTGTTCCCCAGGTAGAACTGTTCTGCTGTACATTCCTGGTAGTTAGGAGTTACTAATTTACCTGTAAGCTATTTTTATTAACCTTTAAAACAAACAGCTCCCCCCACACTCCCCCCAGACACCCACACCCAACCCTCCTTCTGGTTATTTCTGGTGCCTTACAGAGGGTTTTGTAACGTTGTCTCTCCTGCAGTGAAACCCACAGTGCTCAAACGAAGCTAAAAGGGAGATTTGAGTCCAAACATTTCATGAACCACGAGTTTAATCCTCAGAGGAGGCTTTGTGTCCTCAGCCAGCTCTGTGCTTTGGTCTGGGTGAGACTGAGGTGTTTGCTGGCTCTGGTTTAACGATGAAGTAAGAGGTTAAGAGAAGAGTTTGTGACTTCAGTGCCATCAGCCCAGGCATGGCACACTCTGCCTTCCTCCAGAGAGCTCTGACCTGCGTGGCTGCCAGAGGAATCCCAGGGTGGGAGGTCACCCAGAGTGAGACAGCTGAGCCCTGAGGGTCACTGTGGGGCTGTGACATCCTTGCAGAGTGCTTTCCCTCCCAGCTGGGCAGTGTCTGGGGAGCACAGCTCGGTGCCTCTGGGGAAAGCCATTTTTTGTTGCTGCCATCCCATCGTTCCCGTTTCCCAGCCAGGTGTGAGAAATGCTTTGAACAAACGTTGATTTTTTTTTTCTGGTCATTAAGAAAATGCAAAGCAGCTTCTTCAGTTGTCTTGTCATCTTGAGCTCCCTTTCAAAATGCTGTAATCGGGTAGTTTTTCGTGACAGCCCAAAACAAAAGGAGGCTCAAAGGAAGGGGGCAGGAGCCTGAATGTGAGAGGAGGTGACACCCAAGGACTTTGCTGCCTCCTTGACATTCAAAGTGCAGAGGAAGTGGCCAAGGCATTCAAAGGCTCAGCTGGAGGTTGGGAGGGCAGTGAGCTGCTGGGTTTGGCTGGCTGGGTCTCATACAGCTGACGTGCCAGCCAAGGAAGATGTCACTGAGCCAGCAGCTCACCCAGTCCGTGGCTGGAACGTCACAATCTGCTCCTTTGGAACAGATTAAGATACATCTAAGGAACTGCTGAGTGGAAATGCCAGTGTTGATTGTTTCCTGCAGATCCTGGGTGATGGCAGGCTGTGGTGAGGGCAGAACCCTGCTGAGGGCCCAACCCCTATGGAAATGCTTGGCTAAGGAGGACTCTGGAATGGTTTGGGAAGGGATGCTTGTCACAGCATCTGAGCATCACTGACAGGCAGCTTGGAAATAAATGTGTTTTTCTGAGTTCCACGGTGCTGTCCAAGGGGGTTTGTGAACTGAGAAAACCCCACCTCATGATGTTGTGGCTGACTTGTCCAATCAACTTCCTAAACATCTTCTCCTCAGTGTTGGGCACATTTGTTAATTTTGCCTTTCCAGCCCCCTCCCTTCCTCCCTGCTGGGGAAGGAGGTAAGTATTCCTATCCTCATTTTATGCTTTAGCAAATGCAGGATTTAATATTTTTTTCCTAGTTCCAAAGCAAATTGCTGGAGGAATTAGAGAGGTGACTTAAGCATCCTGTGCCTCTAACCCCATTAGCAGTTTCCCCGAGGAGGATCAGATCCACAAGCGCAGGGATCTGTACTTTGCATAGAATTCTCGCTCAGCTCAATGCAGTTTATGTTTACTCATCTGCAGACTGGAAATAATGATAATACCAACCTGTCAGGCATTATCTGAAGCTTACAGTTGTATAAAAAATGCTAATTGTTGAAGGTGAAAGTCTTGCTGATGGAACGTTGCTCCAGGCGGAACCGGGAGCGGAATCCTCGGGGTCGCTGCGATGGCTCATTTGCAAGGGCAGCTCGGAGGAAGACACCGGGTTTGGCACAGCCTGCTGGCACTCCTGGGCTGCTCCTGGGTTTGTAACTGTCCTTGTTGTGTGTTCCCTCCCCAGAGTCCCCCCCGGAGAGGTGTGGGCAGAGGCGCAGCATGCCCAGCGGCATCGCGGACAAGAACCCCGCCATGGAGCCCGCGGCCACGACACCCTTCCGGGTCACGGTCAGTGCCCCCCAGTAACGAGTGTGCAGGACCTGCATGAGTGCTGCAGGACCCTAATGAGTGTGCAGGACCCTAATGAGTGTGCAGGACCCTAATGAGTGTGCAGGACCTGTATGAGTGCTGCAGGACCTTAATGAGTGTGCAGGACCCTAATGAGTGTGCAGGACCTGCATGAGTGCTGCAGGACCCTAATGAGTGTGCAGGACCTGTATGAGTGCTGCAGGACCCTAATGAGTGTGCAGGACCCTAATGAGTGTGCAGGACCTGTATGAGTGCTGCAGGACCTGTAATGAGTGTGCAGGACCTGTATGAGTGTGCAGGACCCTAATGAGTGTGCAGGACCTGTATGAGTGTGCAGGACCTGTATGAGTGCTGCAGGACCCTAATGAGTGTGCAGGACCCTAATGAGTGTGCAGGCACCTTAATGAGTGCTGCAGGATCTCACTGGGTGTTGCAGCATCCCAACGAGTGGAGAGGAACTTGCTCATCCCGAGAAAAGAGCTGCAGTTTCACTTGCAGTGCAAGTGGCTGCTGAGTTATTTTGAAGTGGCTGGGGCGGTGTGAGATGCTCTTAGCAACTGTGACATATATCTTGGTAGAGCAATAAGATCTGAATGTAAATCTGGAGCAGCTGAGGGTGAGCTGTCTCACTTGGGAGAGTTTCCTGGAGAGGTTTCCTTGCTGAGTGCCAGGGGAGTGCATCCATAGATGTGTTTACTGGCCTGCAGCTGTAGATTGTCCTCATCCTCCTACAGAGGGAAAACCTCCTGGAGAAAAGCCTGCCATCAACTCCCAGGACACCTGCCAAGCTGTGGTTCCTCAGGGCCTGGGATCCTCTCCCAGCAGGAGCCTGGAGGAGCTGTTTGCTGTTTGCCATGTCTTTCCATCCCTTTGCTCTGAGATGCTCTGCTCATCCCTGACTTACTGTGTGTAAAGAGTGGGAAGTGTTTTGACATGACTGACAGTGCTGCCAAAATCAAACAGGGCTGCCCTGTGGGGAGGGCTCTGCAGTGGCCATTTCACAGGAATGGGGTCTCTTGGTGCTGAGCCCTGGCTCTGGGGCAGGAATGGGGTCTGTTGGTGCTGAGCCCTGGCTCTGGGGCAGGAATGGCCTGCCAGGCCTTGGGGACCAGCTCTGGAGTGAGTTAAAAGTGAGTTAAAAGCCTTTGTTTCTCCTTCAGTTGGCATGTGCACAGTGGTTTATCACTGATGTGAGTCCTCTCTCTGACTCCTGCAGACTTCCAGAGTGGATCACAGGGATTCTTTACCCCAAGGGCTGTGTTATCAACCAGTAATATCAAACCCAAGTAATGATTTAATTTAGGAGTACACCGAGCTGACAAATGGAAGCACAATGGTGAGATCAAAATAGATTTTTATAAGTGGGCAACAAAGATGCAGCTGGGAGTATTTGTGGAGGCTTTTTCCTATTGTATCATCAGCCTGGACACAACTCTAGTTCATGCAACAGAATCTGGGGCTCTGTAACCAGCTGAAGTCACCACGTTCTTCTGGGTAACATTGAGGGTAACCTCAGGGACAGTAAAGGAGAAATCTGTGGAGGGATTTAAACAAAATAAGTTCAAGCACAAAATATCCACAGCTGGAGGTGGATGCTCCCAGCCAAGGCAATCAGAAGGTCCTGTTTTCAAGGGGAAAACGTGGATGACCAGCTTGCACACAGGGATTTTTATCCAGAGAAGAGGCAAATGCTCTTGCAGGTGGTTTGCTCCATACAGGTTTTCTCTGCAGGCCACACCTTCTTTACAGGCTCAGCTGCTGCACAGCAAACCCAGGGAGGCAGAACCAGAATTTCAAAGGGAAGACAATGGTGCAATCTGAAAAAAAAAATAAATCTGAGCACACCCAGTTCACCTGAGAGCATTTGCACTGGTGAGTGAGTCACCAGCAGCAGTTTGGACAAGGAGCTTATTTCAGTTCTGTGCCTTCCATCAGAACCCATCTAGCTCAGTAAAGGGGTGTCTTTGAGCCTTAAACAGCATATGACTTGTTGATGAAAAATGCGAAAGAAAAGATGGGAAAATCTGGATTCTTCACAAGACAGGGGGTTTGGAAGTGTTTGCCCGAGTGTACTTTTAGTCAGTGGAAATCAGATGTTGTTTATTCCTTTCCAGTGGCATCTATCCTGCTTTTTGGGGATTTTTGTAGAGAAGTTACTCCAGCTTTAGGCAGGTTAGCCCTGGGGAGTGGAACACAGGTGGGATGAGGTTGCTTTGGGCAGCTCTGTCCTTCTGTGTGGGTTAAATAAGGGCAGTCACCACACAGGTGATACACGGCCTTTGTCTTCCCCGGGTTAAAATCCACCCCTGTCTCATTTCTTTGCTGCTCAGCCCTGGGAATGTCACTGCATTAATATGAATGGCTTCATTACTACAGCTGTTAGGGCTGCCCAGGCTTCAGCAGATGTCTGACTTAGGAAATCCATTCTCCCTCACCTCCCTTCATTAAGCAGAGGAACATTAGCAGTCAGTCCACTCCAGCCACGGGGAACAGTAATTAGTGCCTTAGTTTAGTGGTAATGGGATTATTACTTTTGAGCCTGCTGTTGTAGGTTTGGAGACTGTAAGTTTTTCATATTTTACAGCTGATTGTTCTTCCCTGACATCTCCATCCTTCTGCTCTGGAGTCTCCAGGGGACTGGGAAGCTCAGGAGCCCTTGGATTCAGCTGTTTTGACAGTGTTGAACTCTTCAGTTGCTTTTTCTTTCATCTCAGAACTAAAGCCAACCAGGGTGGAAATTCGGGAACGTCCCTTGGGAGCTCCCTTCCCATGCAGAGGTTTGCCAGGCAGGTTACAGTTAATTGGGCATTGTGGTTTTGGAAAACAAGAGCTCGTGGTAGTTTCCTGAGTTACAGAATAGAACCCTGAAATCAAGTCTTGAGATTCCTGTATCTCAATATGTGACCTGGCTTTTTTACCCCTTCCTACTAAAAGAAATTTCTAATAAAGCTTCTTGAGCTCGAACAAACCCTTCTCTAGCCCCAGTTATCTCATGCTGTAAAATAATTATCTCCCATGCAGATCCCTCAGGTAAATTCTGTGACACCAGAGCTCTGTAGGAGTCTATCCAGTCTCTACCCCAGTAAACACTCCCTACTCCTGCTCTAAGAACCAAGTGCAGTGCCCAGGTTTTAGTCTGGGAGTGGAGAACCACGGGTGAGTTCCACATCACATCTGTAGAAGCAGCAGATCTGGTGTATGTGGGTATAAAACAAACATGAGCAGGGAAATTCTGATCCTGAGGAGTTTCTTGCATCACACAGGCTCGTGGGAGAGGCTGCCTGTCCTCACAGCCACAGCTTTGGAGTTCAGTGGCCTGGCTGGAATCCTTTGTGCTCCTCCTGATTCTGCCCCTCAAACAGAGACCTAATTAAAAGTGCTTCAGGAAAACTCAATATCCAAGGACAGCACAAGAAAGGCAAGGCTTGAGGTGTCAGTGAAAATGTTTTCTTAGGCAGGGACCCAGAGTTGTGTCCTCTGTCAGTGGAGACACCAACGAGCCCAAGGGCAAATGCTGGACCCTCCTCTGTGCCCAAGGGAGATGGGACAGCCCTGGGTTGGCTGGAATTTGCCTTTCAGGGAATACAGAATCCAAACAGCCTGAGGTGTGATGTGGGTTAAACCCAAAAACTGTGTGGTGTTTCATCCAACACAGGGACCAGGAGAGGAGACAGTCTGCTGAGTGCTAATTAAATCCTCTCACTGTGCCCACCTTGCAGGGAAATCACGAGCAGGGTGGGTTGCTGAGGCTCCCTGTGCGAGGACTCTCTCCCATCCCATCAAGCACTGCCATCTATTGACTCCTTCTGTTAGAGCCAGGTTTATCTGGATTTCTGGGAAAATATCCCAGGCCAAGCTAAGTCCAAATTACCAAAGAACTTGGGCAGAAAAGTTGGACCAAGTGACTGGACCAAGAAACCAGAACGATTTCTTGCTGTTGGTCCATCTCACTGGCCGTGCAAGGGCCCTCCTTCCAGAGGCCATTGATGTAACCTGCACTCTGAATGTTTCCAAAAGCTTTGCAAATGCCTCTCTGCCTTGCCCACAGAGCTGTGTCTGAGGAAGCATCTGTATGCTGTCTTTTACTAGACAGAATTTAGGATTTCTGGTCTCCAGACCTTTAATCCTCAGTTCTGCTATCACTGGGATCATCAGAACCACTTCTGTGGTTGAAGCCACATTGGCTACCAGAAAAAAAAAACCCTCAAAACCAAAACACATTGCAGCTCTAAGCTGCACAATCCATGGAATTGTGTGAACTGGATTGGAAAGGAAACCATTCTCAGAGAGGTTCCAGAGGCCAAACCCAGTGCTGGACACACACTGTCCAGGGGTTCTGGATCATTTTCCCAGATCCTCATTTTCTCACGTTCCTTCATCACCTCCTCGGTGTCCGTGGTTCTGCTCCTGGAATGGGGTGTCTTGGAGCAGGAGCTCTCCTTGGTGGCCCATCTGTCGTTCCTCTGCTTTCTCAGGATCTTTAATAAAGCAGCATTTATAGCCACAGAGAAATAGGACATTTCTGAGGTGTTAGTTCTCCTCCTGCCTGCAGCTGGCCTTGTTTTCCTGCAGTTTTCCTGCCTCTTTGGGCTGGTACACAGCTGAATGTGCAGTGATACATCCTAAGCTCCTCTCATGGCATTCCTCCATCTATCCTGGTTTTAATCCTTGATAAATGAAGTATTAAATACTGATGGCAGTAAATGGAAACTCCTGGAGAGATGAAAGTGAGGAGCCCTTCTGCCATTCCTCTTCACTGAACATAATCCTAAATAATGGGATCCAAGTTCAAGCTGCTGTGGACAAGATACTGAAGGATTTTTTCCCCCCGAGTTTTTGCCTGTCCATAGGACACACTATTTTCCATTTTAATTTTGTTGTTGTTGAAAGCAGTCATGTAAATTATATTACAATGCTTTGACTGTGGAGAATTTCTCCTCCTGTGTTAGGTGGAGGGTGGAATGGCCCTTCCCTGGGTG